GAGAGAGAGAGAGTGAGAAAGAGAAATTAAGAAATACAAAGGCGAAAGAATTTAAACAATACGATTAGATAAAAAAGTTCCGTGGGAATAAAAAGAACTCGGCCGGGAACTCCTCCGACGATTTCTTTTTCTTTCGTTCTCGGGGAAATGTCTAGGATCGATACAGAATCGGCTGCAAATCCTTGACACGAAACCGTTTTTAATCGTAGTTCTGTATATATCTCAATGGTTCGGCTAGCTGGTAAAAAATTCGAAATGCAGCACTGCTACGATACGAGGAGTTCATGGCGGGATCTATACGCGGAATGATTAAATATAAAGCGTTAGTGACTGTATCCAGTATAATATATCTGATAAAAGATACCCCTGATGCCAGATATGGCGTGTGACAATAAAGTGATTCAATGATCTCGTCGCATTTCAATCGCAGCCACCTTTCACGATACACAGGCACACACTTATATATATACATTTACACACACAAACACGTGCATATAGACATGTATATTTTAACGCAAAACGAGAACATTTTTTTTGTAAAGTACGAGACGACACCGCCGGAATTCAACGATCACGATGTGTAAAAGAAAGTATCTCATCGTTTTCCGATTACTCGTTACTCCGCTGTTAATTGATAATGTCAGTAATATTTTTAACAAAATAAAGCTACCTTATTCAAAGCTGAGAACGACTTTCTTAAAAACCTTTATATATTATATATATATATATTATGTAAAAATTTCCTTTTCACTTTTTTCCTTTCGATTTATTTACGATTTATATGCTTGAATTTTATTGCATAAAAAATATTAGATTTTTTTTGTCTCTTATATAAGATCACTTATTATTAATCACACGCGATATTAAATTATTTATCAAATTAATAAAATTAAAAATATTAAAAAAATAAGAAAGATTAAGAAATAATTTTACGAATTATGTTAAATTAAGAAATTAATAAATAAATAAATGAGAAATAGTAATTACTTACAAACTTATTAAAATATTAATAAAATATTTTTGAAAGTTACAATGTTTAAAATATAAAATAATAAATATTTAAAATTAAAATATTTTTATTTTCGTATATAGAGACTCTACCCGCAGTTACCTTCGTTATCGATGTAATCGACATTGCCCGAGGTGTTACCTGCCGCGCAATGTTTATACACAATGGACAAGGAGCTTCAGTTACGCCATTAACGCCGAAACGTACGGACGTAAAATTTTGTTTGATTTTGTAATTTATTTCAATTCTATTGCGTAATATAAAATCGTGTACGAATATTGCATAATGTGACGGTTACGGTTTGTGAATTTTGTTCAACTCATGTGTGCTAATAGTTAATCGTAGTTATTACAATTAATATTTAATGTTTGTTAAAATATTCGCGCGTTATATTCGTGAGTGAGTGTTGTTTTTGATAATGGAGGAAAGAGAAGCTGTTAGATTATCCACTGCCAAGTTATTATCTACGAACGGTGAGTCACATACTTTTTATTTTCTTTAATTACATTTATTTCTAGAATAAACGATTTGAAACGATACAAATTGCAATATATTATATTTCTTCTTCTACGTATTTATAATAATAGTATATATATCAATATTTCGTTTATATATATATGTATTTATATATAAATTATTCAATATTTTCAATTGCTTTTTCGATATTTGTTATTATTTCGAATTTAATTTTAGAATTTGCTTTTAATTCGATGTTTTATACGTTTATATTTTTTTAAATTTTAATATATAAAATGTCGGTTGATGCTAACAAAAAACTTTAGTTTAAAATTTTGCCGTTAGAGGTTACCACTTGTACAGTGTACAAGAAAATGGCGGTGCGTGCATCGAAGTGACTAAAAAACGCGCGAAATTATTATTTCTTTTTGCATATTGTGAATAATTTTTTAGATATTATCGTGTAGAAATTGCGTTAGTTATTTTCGTTCATGAAAAGTATAAATTTAGTGATAATAATTAGTACGTTTCCAAAGTGATTAGTGAATATGCGTTGCAAATTTGCAGTCACACGAGCAACAAGGTCAGCAAATAAGCAAGGGAAAGATAACCAAACAAGTAGTCATATCCTCGTCAATGTGAGTATGAATTTCGTACATATTTTATTACGTAGTAGCATAGATTTATATTTCGAGTCTTGTGATACGTTACTATATGCAATAATACATTTTTTTAATCGATTCATACTTTATAACGTACTTCTATTAATCTTCTCATACGAACTTCATATACATTACACTACTACATACTACTACATAGTAGTAAATACAAAAATATAGCCTAATGTACAGAAGACTCGAAATACTATAAACATATTAGTCATTATGCCATTAGTCACGCAATCAATATACATGTAAACATACTACATACGATTCAGAAACGTAAAAATAATAACATAAATCAATGTTAACGGTATTCCATACTGTAAATTTATCTAAAAATTTTTCTTCCAAACCATCTACTTACAACTACGTATAATACAAATATTCATCGTGCCAACGTCATATCATATTAGGTAAAAATTGTAATTAAAGCTTAGCTGATACATTTTCGCATTTCCAAAAAGTTTTTCGATCCGTATTGTCGATTCATAATCTACATCGTGTCCAAGACGCGAGCGGAACGATGCGTCGCGCGTTTTCGCATCTTCGTAGCTTTATTATCGTAATCCCATGGCGTCGATAAGCCCATTACCGTGTGTCTCTACCGATGCTTGGTAATGTATGCGCCGGAACGTAATAAAAATCGACTTACACGAGCGGCCGGCCGGTCTTCTAGCCACCTTTCTCCGCGTGTATACCAGCTTCTATCGGGCGGCACGCTTTTAGGTGTCGCTAAAACTTTAATCAAAGTCAGATTAGCCACGAAGGGATGACACCGAGGCTACCGAGGGCGGTTCGCGGGGTGGGATGAGGCGGGAATACCAGGGGCCGGGCGTTTTATTAAACGGGACTTGATTAGGGGTTGCCAAGATCCTTTCAGAGTTTGTTTTCGACTGGTTTCCACGGAGCCGCGCTTTCATTACTCCGGTTTCGCATAATTGACACGATCGTTCGCTAAGGGGGAAAAAAAGTTGGCCACTCTGTCACTCTGTTCGGTTATTCTATTGCCGGAAAGGAAATTGCAAATTATTCACCTTCTTTTTACATTTTGATGAAGTCTTTGTTGACTCTTTCTTTTTCTATTTTGTTTTTTTGTTTTTTGAATTTTTTGTTGAATTCTAGGGGAGTTGATTTATTTTGGTAGATTTTTTTAAAATTAACGAGTTACGTATAAATTGAATTTTTATTATTTTAGAGGAGGTAGTATATTTTATTAAATATTAGTTCTTAGACGTAGAACATTTTCGTAGAAATAAAAGACGTAGAAATAAATTAGAAATTGGATTTTTTATTAATCATTCGAATGATTGATACGATTGCGATAACGATCAACTAAAGACGGAGTGACTTAGTGTGAAACACATTTAGGCATCAACGTAGAATGATCGAAAGTGATACAGTCTCTTGGTAATCTCTGTAATCCCGAGAGTATAACCTCGTGGTCGCTTCCCCAGGCAAGCATTGTCGAACACGATCCCCCACACAGTGTGATGTTTGTATTCTCCTCGCAGTAATAATCGGTTTCGATCATTTTCGATCTCCCTTCCTTAATAACTTTTCCCGTGTATTAAATTCGACGGAATATCATTTCCAAATAGAAAAATTGATAGAACTTTGTAATAATTCGACGAAATAAATAAAAATATCTCCGTAGTTAGAATCTTAATTTATTAAATTTAGTTAAAAATATTCAATTATATACAATATTCATCACCGTTTGATAAAATGCGTCTCGAGAAGAATTTCAAGAGGATGTATGGATGAACGTATTCACGAAGAAGACGAATGTCACGCGGGGGGGTCGGCGTAACCGCGCAATAACAACCCTTGGGAAGCTGGGGCAGAGGTTGACGCGGTGTTTACGTCGAAGGGTCTCCACGCAGAGACTCCGCTTTCCACCCCCGTCCTCCGGCTTAACGCTAATGAATCTGATTTGCATCTGATCCCGACGACCGATCTTCGATCCTCCCTCGACCAATCCGCTCCTGGATTATTTAAGGATGCTGCCGTGCATCGTACGCGTCCGTGATTAATTACGCGATATCTGTTTCAGACTACGTATCTGTTTCCGCCTAGGTTGCGTTGTTAGTGAATTTGACCGATGATACAGCTCTTGTTTCGTTTTCCCCGATCATTTTATTCGTTGTGTATCATAGATTCAATTCCAATTTCCGAGTAAAAATTTAGATCTATAGTTGTTATAAGACAAAGGAGTTTACAAAGGGAATGGAAGTGAAGTTGTTTTCGAAAACTTTAATAAATGGCCGGTGTCAGGGGAAATAAACGGATTTTTATTCGGGTCGGTGATCGTAGGATGTTTCCACGGTCTCGAGTATCGTGTCCAGAAAGTAAATCGTTTCCGCAACAAAGAGTTCGTTATTTGACGTTTTACAAACGATGCCACTTTATACGAATTTGTCCAGTAATCAGGAAAAATAATCATCGAATAATAAAACGAGTCGTATGAAGGAAACGAAGTCGATTGAATTGGAGGAATTATTTTTTTTTTTTTTTAAAAAAAGAGACGCAGCTCGTTAAGCGTTGAGTTACGAGGGAATAATTAGATAAAAGTAAACTAACCAACGAATTTATGTTGCTCCAAAGGATTCTTCCATCCACGTGGAAGATTTACGTGAAAAGAAGGAGGATTCCACGGGATTCGTTACCTTTTTCCACGACAGGTTCGTGTTTAATGGGCGGGGTGCCCTGCGGATACTTTCACGGTGCCCCGCCCCCGACGCGATCGCATTATTGCCCGGACACGAAAGCTCCTCGTTCCCTTTATCATTCATCACCGTGGAAAAACTACGCGCTGCATATTTTCACGATCGTGTCCACGAAGGAAAAAGAAGGAAAATTATCTCGCCGGTTTTTATCCGAGCACGCGTGGGCGGCGAGCTCGTGCGAAACGGGCAATTGCATAAGATAACAGATTCTTAACAGAGAATTAACGATGTTGTTTACCATCTTTTTCTGGCGGTGAAAAATCGAAAAGAAGAAAGATAATTTTTATCGCGACAGCAATTAAAGAATTCTCTCCGCCCTCGATTTTTCAACAATTTTTCTTTTCGTTCTTTCTTTCTTCCGATCAATGAAGAACAAATAAGAGTGTAAATATTTATAAGAGTAATCGATCATTCGGTTATTTAATTAAAAAAAAACCGAACCGCGTTTCAATGATACGAGTTTTCCACCCTGTTCTTCATTTATGCTTCACCCTCGCTCGTACTTTCGATATTAACTCACCGCGTCGGGGATCGGTAGCACGTGCTGACAACTCGAATTATAATTACGAAATGATGATTTAACGTTCCATTAAGTTTTTCACACGCGTGAATATAACGAAATTATATCTCGAAAAATATTTTTTAACAATTCAGTGGCGTGTATAAACGAAGTAGAATTGGCAATAAATTTCCAAAATTTACGGATCTTTTCCATCGAACGTTTCACTTTTCAAATATTTGCTTTCGATATTCGTCATTCATCCGTGCAACTCGCACGTGTCATCCAAATGGTGTTTCGCGTTTAAACGGTCAGCAGCAGCGTGGCTTTACATATATTTACTCGTGGTTCCTGATTCTATTTGTTTAGGACGAGGAGGTGGAGGGATAAAGCGTCAGTATTGAAGAATAAAAAGAAACGGGATCGTGATCGTTGACACGGTATATATCGCGTTGACTTTGAAACGGGGAGGGGGGAATTGAGGGAAGCACGTGGCACTGGAGTATGAATTAAAATCGCGCGGCGGGTCAACGCCGAATATTCCGCACTTAATCACGCCGCTTGACACGCGGGATTACATCGCGCGTATAATCGGATAGAATATCGTTATATTAGATTTTATGGAGATTGAAACTATCCTCAACTTGGTGGGTAACCATTATTAGATATTAATCCAACGGGAGTACGATCTTTCGATGATTTATTCGTTCTTGCGTCGATCGATTTTAATCTTCCAATAAGGATAGGAATCGATATTAGAAGAAGAAGAAGAAGAAGTAAAAAAAAAAAAAAAAAAAAGAAAAGAAAAAATGGAAGAGAAAACTTGGAATTTTTTTCTCTTATTGACATTTAATGAAAAATTGTAGAATGGTATATAAGTTAAGAAGCGAATTCGTATTTTCGAATACGATACAAATGACGTAGCATGGTTAAACGAAGCATTTATTGAAGCCAGCCGAAGGCAGGCCAACTAACTAAATTCTTCTGATAGTGATAAATTGGATTCGCAACGAGCCACTGACCCGATCGAACAAAATACTCGATTTCTCGTAATATATTCACGGTGCACCATTCACGCGATCGTTTGAATTTATGTTCCTATAGATGCAGGATTCCGTGGAATCGGGATTAAGAATTGTGCCTGTAAGCGCGGCTCCGTGGATTACGCGTGTTTACCAGGATTTTTCTCGTATGGGTGGCGCGCGACCGCGTTCCCATATATCCCGTGTGCCCCCTTTCACTGCTTATAAATAAGCGGCGAGACGCGCGTGTCTCCAGGAAAAAGTTTTTTTCCTCGAAAAACGATGGAATCCAACCCTTGGTACATAACGATCAAGTTGTCATGGATCGTTCGTTTCCAGTTCATAAAGCCTCCCCACGTACAATGGTGGCTAACTAGGCGTGGTTCGCTTTGAAGAGGGTCACCTGGTATATTATATATGCGGTGGCTCGGCTCTATATACGTGTGCACGCACCGGGTTTCACACCCAGATACATCTTTTGACAGGTTGATACGCCGAATGTAACGCGTGTCAAGTAGGACAGAGTTGTGCCTTCGCTCGCTAAAAAACTCGATGACCGATAGTGAAAGTGATTTGACATCGACGAGACTTAATTCTTAAAGATATATATATATATATTACGATTTATTTGTACGAGAATTAATTCTGGTATTCGATCATTAATTTAAATCAATTCCTGTTATAATGGAGAACAGGCCCAGGATTTGATTCCCCGGTTGAAAATAATTTGATGTTAAGAAGGGATCGATTCAGATTCCAAGGTTTCGTCCAAGGATCCTCCTACTTTCCTGGTCAGAATTCTTATCCTACTTCTCATCTCCGCTGTTCCGCGCTTCCTGACGCGTATGTATGTATACATATGTATGTATGTATACATGTATACATACACGGACAAAGTGACAAGTTTTATCGGTGGCGGGAGATCTCGATAGCAGGGTGATGTATACGCGTGGGCGTGGCACCTCTAAGGACCAAATTATAGTCCTGCGATGGGGATTTCTAGGATGGCATCAGGTCCAGAAGAGACACGAAACTGCCTTCTGAAACCTTACTCATTCTCCTTTCCCCTCTTTTTCTTTTTTTTTTCTTCTTCCCTTCCCGACATTCTCGCCCTGCTTTCCTTTCCCGATGACAGGTGTTTGCCCTCCAACGAGTTTCCCTTTCCTCCTCCCCCTCTCGAACGATACGCTCATAACGAAACCCTTTCCGGGAGAAAATTTCCATCTCGCGCGCAAAGCAAGAGGTTGTCCACTTAAAAATCTCCCCCGGATTCGTCTGGATGCCTTTGGACGAAATAAAACGTGATTTACGAGAGGTTTATGCAATTTTTCATCGCCTCGTCATTACCATCGGTGAATAGGTTTGACGAGCACGCGGTCAGCAGCCGGGGGCCAATACAAAAACCAGCTAGCCTTGTTACTCGTCGGCTCGATGATGTACCTTTCATCAGCGAGGGAGCCCGGTTAAAGAAAAGCCCGACGACATTTCATTGCGAGGCATTAAGCGAACTCGACGCAGCCGGTTAACGTTCCCGATTAAATTGTCCGGGATGTAATGCCCGTTTAAACGCAATCGTACAGCATCAAACGCGTTAGTGTTAATTCATTACGCTGGGGGATTGTTCGTTAACGATTATATTTATCGGCGAGTTTCTCTTAAACGAAAACATAAATGGTAGGGAAAAGTTGGGAGAGGAAGCGTAGAACGTGTCTAGCGAGGATATAAAATAAATGACATAAAAAATAATTGAACATTCGTAGAATATTTCTTTGCACGATTGCACGCTCTCTGCAATTAATAATAAGTTGT